ATTATTATATATTTAAAATTTAATATTTAATATTATTAGAATCTATTTTAAAATAAATATTTAAAATTTAACAAGGAAAGGAAATCTATGTTGAAAATTTCAAATAAAATATAAAATAATAAACATGAAAATACATTAATTTTAAATTATATTTTCATATTTTCTTAAATTGTAATATATTTCTGACAGTGTGTCGACCAAATATTTGATTTGGCAATCAGGCGCAAATACAACAAATTTGCCACTGGCTTGGATTGAGGGGCAGTTCGGTTTGGGGGGGTGGGCGTGGTCTGGGCAATTGCCTTGTCCAGTTCCTGTGTCAAATGCATGTCACACACACACACACACACACAGGGAGACACACACTCAAAGTGTGAAATGAAAACACGGCAGCAACCGAAACGCGTTACAAAATGTTAATTTGCAGCGACATTGGCGGAAAAGGGGTTGATGGAAAAGTGGGTGGAATGCGAGGAGGCAAGGGCAGGTGCCTCACTTTGACCGCAAGGCAGCAGCAGCAGCAGTAGCAGCAGCAGTAGCAGCAGCAGCAGCAGCATCAGCTTTGTGCTCTATAGGCATTAACAAACAGCAGCAACTGCAACAACACTCGCAATCAGCCCCTGATGATGACGATGACGATGACGAGCAACCGCTAACACCAACCGAGCTGCAACCAAATGACCAATGAGCCAACCACTGCCCGCACACTCCCACACACACACACACACACACACACACACACTGCGGATGGACAGGAACGGGGAGGGGACGGGGAGTATGTGTCAGGGCAAGCTTGTCGCTTGGCCATGTCCCTGGAAATGCAGTCAAAGGGGGTATAAGCGACCAAGGGTTAAGTGCTTAATATATTTTGTTAATTTTAAATTTAAATAAAACAATAAGAGAGATAAATTACTAATGGAAATACTAATTTATATATAATTTAAAATATTCTCTAAAGAAGTTAAAAAAGAGATACTTTTTTGGCTTAAAGACGTTTTTAAAGAAACTGATAAAAAATCCTTTTTAATATTTAGTTCCCAACAAATTAAATTCTAACTTTAATAAACACTTTAATAGGGTATCAAGCAGTCTTAAGTAAATATCTATTTTATTTCCCACTGTCGCTGGGTCAATGTTGATGCTGATAAGTAGCAAAACATGAGGTCGCCTGTAATTATGCGAGTGTTGCAAGTTAATTGCAATTGTGTGCAACTGACGGTAGCGAGATTAATTAAATTCATCCCATGTACAGCACTGGATCCGGGACTGCATCCTCCGCATCCTCTGCATCCCCCTCTGACCATCCCTGAACCCATCTTTATCCCCATTCTGATCCTGGCCGCCATCACTCAATGCCAGGACAAGGCAATGGGGATGGTCAATCTGTTTATTTGCTCATCCTCAACAGGCCACACCACACAGCACACACACACCCTTGACACACCCTTGACACACCCTTAATACACTGCACACCCACACACTCGCCTCTCGCATTGTTTAAAGTTCACTAATTTCCATGCATATGGCCCGCTTGGTCGCATTTGTGTTAGTAAAGTGATTTATTGTCGCAAAATTGTCATTATTAAAAATTAATGATGTCATAATTAAGTGTGCATGTTGCTGCGCAATGCGTTTTATTGTAAAATGATTTACACGGCATCACATTAGCTGCTCTGGACAGTTTAGTAGCGAAAATTTATGAACTGCAAACAACAAATATGCTCGATTCAATTTAATTTCCATAATTTAATTAGTCTCTTGTCGGGGGTGGTGCTCCTACTCCTCCTCCTCCTCCTCCTCATAGTGGGTCTGTACATATTTGCATAACCCGTCCAAGGCTCATCTGCCTTTTGAGAAACCAGAAACACATTAAACCGGATATGATAATGCTGCGAGAAAGTTTGTAACCCGATTCTCTAGAACATTGTTACATCACAAGCACTCTTTCGAGTCAAAGCTTGATATGAAATAGGAATAGGAATTTTCATTGAGATCTTTAAACAATTTTTAACTTATTTTTGGGGCTATACCTCGTTTTATTTATTATTAAAAATTATATATAATGAGTAAAAAAATATTATATAAATTGTGAAAGATTGTCTTGGGTTTGGTGGCTTTAACATAAAAGTTTAAGCAGCTTGAAGTGAAAGGAAACTCCAATGAATGTGTTAAAATATAAATAGATATTAGTATTAAATATTAAATAAATTATTAAAAATAAATTAACTTAAATTAGTAAATAATCAACCTTACTTTTAAGGGTTTAAAATCAACAAAAACTAAATCATTTAAAAAATATAAACTCCCTCTGTTTAGACCCTTAAAAATCATTACATTTTTCCCATTTTTTTAAAGGATACTCCCCCGTCGACTCCCTATTCCCTACCCAGCATAAACGAATGTCTGGGAAATTTGTCACTTTGTCAAATTGCAATATTTGCAGGTCTGCTCCGAATGGGTTTTGCTTTCGCTCCGATGGCCATGATCGATGTAGTCCTTTATCTGCTGGGTGTGTCTAGGGTGAGGAAAAGCGGGCATAAACCCACCACCCTCGACTTCAATGTATTAAAAATAATCACCGAAATGGCCAATAGCCGAAATGGCCAACTGCAATCGCCTCTGCATATGCATGAAAATGAAATGATGTAAAAATAAAAATACGTCTATAAATCTTTCAGCCGCAATTTTTATGGCAGCGATAAAAATGGTAGTTTCTCTCGCCCCAAAATTATGGAATAAAAGTTACCCTGTAAAAAGGGTTTTTTTCTGGGTTTTAAATGAATTAAGAAGACTCTGTCTGGGGTTAATTTTGTGCCAGCATTCGTTGGGAGTCTGCGGTTGGCAGCCACTGTGCTACCGCCAATATGTGTCAGGTTAGCCCCCCGTCCGTTCTGGTCCTTTCTGGCCAGATGCAGTGGTCAGGCCCCTTCGGCCAGGCAACATAACTTCGTGCACAACTCACCGCAAATCAGTTTGGCCAGAGAGAGTTGCCATTCCGCCGCCAACCAACCAACCCGCCTCGACCATCTGATTGATTGAAAGTCAGCCAAAGTTGGAATTGAGTTTGCAGCAAATAAGCTGATGGACCGGGCCATGCCCTGGCCGGGCTAATTAGGTCACCAGAAAGGGGCTGGCTTGCAATACCCTCACTTTAGACATCGGAAAAGTGTGTTCCCTGAGTTATAAGTAGAAATATACTAAAGAACTTCTAGTCCTGGAAATGAAAACCCAATTTATATAGAAATATATGTTAAGATTCGTAAAATTTATATATCCCCTTAAAGAAAACCCCTGCAGGGTATCAGCCCTAGGCAGCAGCTGCCGCTGGATTCGTTCATATAAATTACACTTGCCATGTATTAATTTAAGTAATAATTTCCCATTGGCAAATCCCCTGATGCTCAATGCAAAATATAACAAAAACAGAGAACAAATGCAATGCAAAAACGCCAAACAAAGTGAAACAAAGAGCTCGGAAAAGTTTGGACCAAAAAAAAACAACTGCAAAAATGTCAACTTGTGCAAATAATGCAAATATTTATACAAATTATTATGTGATTTCGATGGGGTATTTAGGCAGGGGGCAGGGAGAGTCCTGGTCCGGAAAAAGTTATGCAGCTTTGCCCAGCTTTCGGCCATCTCCCTGGCCATGCGGCGTATACGTAATCATTTTCCTTTCGGCCATTCAAAAGTTGATTTTAATGTTGGGTTGAAAAATAAAATACAACAAAAAAAAACAGAAACAGAAACAGAAACAGAAAGCAAAAACCCCACTGCACTTTTGCATTTAAACGTGATTTTAAATAACCGCAACAGATTTTGTGGTTTCATGTTGCATTTGCCGTTCGATAAGCGACACCCTGACATTCCCGGTTGGCTCTGGATGCTGCAGGGTGTGGTAGTGGGTCCTGGATTGGTCCTGGTTGGTTTTGGTTCTGGTCCTGGTCGAGTTGGCTTGATAAGGTCCCCCGGTTACGCAAGCCGGTGGGAAACTGGCACTGGGAACAGTGTAGGCTGCGGTCAAGTGCATTTAAAATGCAAAATGCACGCATTTGCGGCATTGCCTCCACACTGGGGGATTACGTATTAAAAATGTCCAAAAATTTATTATATTATAATTTTTAAAATTTCAATTAGATGTGTGAAAATGTTAAGGCAAAGGAAATAAGTAAATGCAATTTTACAAATATTTTTATAATGAGATTAAGATATTTTTGGAGGTATTTAAATGTAAAATTCTTACTAAAAAAATTCTTCAATATCTTCAAATTCTTGAAGATATTTCTTATTAAAAAGTTTTAAAATATAGAATAACATGTGGAATTTTTCAAATCAGTTTTTTTTTTAATTTAAAAATATTAAAAATATACTTAATTTAATAAATATAATGCCTAAACATTTAACTTAGAAATTCTGAAAAATTCAAACAAATTCATAAACCTAATTTGAAATAGATTGAAAAGTCACTCTAAAACTTACGCTTTAAACTGTGTAAAGTCTCTTAAATGCGTAAAATTTAACTCCGAATTAATATATATATACCATTTCCATTTTAAATTCCCATTTAAATAAAATAAATTAATTTTTAAGCACTGATTTCTGGCTAATTTTCATGTTTTCAGTTAATGGCATTACCTAATTTCCACAACACACTCACACACGCTTAGCCCCTCTATATACAACCAAGGGGCAAATACAAACGGTTCATATATATATATAGAAATCCACCGATACACGATATATGCGTGGACCTAAAGTCTGTCTATTTTTTGGGTGGGTTTTGCATAACGATACCTACAAATGTTAGTCCTCGGGCCTCGGTAATTGGTATTTTGATATTTTTTTCACGCTTTCTGTCTAACCTTAAATATACAAAAGTATTATTCGATTTTTTTTTTTTTGGTGAATACGTTACGTTTATGGTTATGCTATCATTATCTTTAATGTACTTACGCTACGCACACTTAAAAAAAAAAAAAAATGCCAATCAATGATTGAGATTTCGGGCAAGAGACAAAAAAAAAATGCACATTTAATTGCTAATTATCGTTATCATAATCGCTATCGATATTATTTCTTGTTTGTTTATTCTCTGCCTATGTATATATGTATGTGTGTGTCTGCGCTGATTTCGTCCTGATCCTTTCGCCTTTCATAGTCGCATTTCCCTTTCCGGTTTGTCCTTTATCCTCGGCATGGCCATGTTTATATGTATGTTTAGTGGAAGCTCCTGTTGCACGCCGCTCGCTACTTACGTCATACGCCTACGCTTACGTTATGCTGCGTTACGCCCTTACGTAATTTTTGGGGATTTTTTTTTTTTTTAGTTCTGTTTCCAACTGGTCGCTGTGAAATTTAAAGAGTTCAAGTTAAAATTATGTATACAATTTTAGAAAATGATTTAAAAAATAAAAAATTTTTAATATATAGTTATTTAATTTATTTAATTTTGTACCTTTGTAGTAGACCTCGCGGTACATGGTGGGGCAGGCAGCCTTGCCGTTCGTCTTTGTTGTCTTGAAATCAATATTGGTGCGTATAGGCCGATGCAGGAGCGGCTGTGGCGGCCTATAATTGTTGCCCAGGGGCGCCTTCGGGTGGTCGGGGCTGCCCTGCATTAAACGCCGCAAAGCGTGCAACTAAAAATAAAATTAAACAAAATTTTAAAGAATTTTTAAACATTATTTAAAGTATTTTAATTTGTTAATAATTAGTTTCTTGTATTTATAAATATTAAATTCATATTCTGTATACACTGCGTATACGTAATTTAACTAAATATTTGAGAAAACCCACTTTGTAATCCCATTAAATTCTCTCCCCTAGTGCCTTCTCTCGAGACACGGAAGTAGATCAACAATGCCAATCCTTAGATGAAGATAAGCCCAACCATCCGTTCTACTCAGGCAGTCTGCCAAGCATTTAACGTGCATAATTATAAACTTTTTCGCACACAAGTAGCACCAGCAGCACCAGCATCGATCCTACTTGGCAAAAAATCACGCTTGACACAAATTGCTAATCCTAAAAATAAGCGCTAGCTGAGCAAAAAATTCAAAAAGGAAAGTAGGGGAAAATATCCTGTGAAACCCAGACAGCAGCAGCAACAACGAGTCAATAACACTTAATCTACTCAATCTGTTTATCAATTGACTTCCGTCAAAATCGCTTTTCACGACAACGTGGCCGGGTTTGATGTTGATTGAGGAGAGCGTCGAGCCACGTGGCTGTGTGGGTTAAGGGAGGGTTCCGGGTTTCTGGGTTTTCAGGGGAATGGCATCAGCAAAACTCCACGGATTGTCCGTTCAAGTGTGAATTACCCGGTATACTGGCTTACGTGGCTTGAAAGTATGCAATGCCAAATGGCACTCAAGGACTAAAGCCGCCTGTTCTTACAAGGATTTGTGGTTAGGAATACTGAATTTGATACAAAATGCAGAAACCGCAGTTTAAACAAAGGGAAATCGGAGTGTTAATCTAAGCATGTTAAATATTTCAATTAATTTACTAGATTAATTTCAGTTAAAGGTTAAAAACAGTCCGAAAAACTATCATAAATCTATCTATAAACTATCATAAAAAATATAATAAAATTATATATAACTTAAACATTCTGTTTTCTTGATTTTTCAAGTTTAAAATTATAATATCTAAGCCTTAACTCCTCCACAACATAATTACATTCTAGTTACTGGTGACTTTTTCTGGCTTCGTGACTCTAGGCTTACGTTTAACCCTATAGCCCTCACCTAGCCGGAGTGCACGTTAATGGGTTAATTGCAATTTCAGCTCATGTCGCGCAGCTTCCTTCCTTCCCCCTCTTGGTCCATGGGTGTTACTTTAATTTGGTAAATTATGCTTTGCCAGCAAGGTGCAGTCGGCCCTCTCTTTCTTTTGCTCCTTTGCTGTCTCTTTCTACTCCTACTTCTCTCTCTTTCTCTCACTCTCTCTCTCTCTCGTCTTGCCTTCGTGTGTGCGGTGCAGCCAGTAAATTACAGAGTCGTGGACCGGAGTCCGGGGTCCTCCATGGCTGCCACAAGTTGTAATCATGTGCCCATGGGTGCCATTGAGCTTGTTGAAGTTTTTATGAGTCTGCCTGCTGCAGCCCTCTGTGTGTGTGTCTGTCTCTCTCTGCCCTACCCCTCGCTCTCTCTCTCTCTCTCTCTCTCTGTTTACATTGTTTACACGTATGCCACCGCTGCTGCTGCTGGCCACCGTTCAACCGCTCCTGAATCCTTTTGCCTTCGTCCTTTTGGCGTCTTTATTACAGCACTGCACTTAATAAACATTTGTGTTAAATTTCTGCTCCTTTTTTCGTTGCTCTATCTGTGTGTGTGTGTGTGTGTGTGTGTCTTTTTTTTCCCACCATTCCTTTGAGTTATGGACACTATCCACTTTGTTGCTCCTCCAGCGGCGGCAACTTAATTTAAAACTTAAATGAAATTAGCTAATAAAACAGAAGCAGCGGACATTGGAGCACTGTATACTAATTAACAAACATTAAGGTGCTCATCACTCAAACAGTTCGTGGGGGTGGAGTTGGCAGAGAAGCGTCTCCTGATGAATTCGGTTGGAAAAAAAATAAAGGAAGTCTTCCTCCAGAGATTCCCTATTCTAAAGTCTTAGACTTTCTGGAAATATTTAAGTTTAAACCCACCTGTTGCTTTGTTATGTAAATGGGCTTATTGAGCACCACCCAGGTGACTGTTTCATGGCAGGCTGGTGCCGTGGTTGACCCATCGTACGTCATATAGTGATCCGTATCCGGCAGGAGTCCCCGGATGGAGAGACGCTTCACGAACGCCTCGTCGCCGCCATAGCGAATGCGCTCCAGCTGATCGGTGAGCATGCGGAGCTCGGGGTTTGAGAGGTCACCAAGCTGGAAAGGGAGAATATAAGGGTATGAAATAGAAAATATAAATATATAAATATAAATATATAAAATATACAATATATATAAGCCTTTTATATTTTAGTTCTTGATTTTATTTTCATACACCAGAATTTTCTAAACTTATTGCACACCAACGCAAACAAGAAGTAGAGATTGCAGATCTCCGATATCCGTCTATCGATCTTCCTTGCTTACTATCGATATATGTGAAAATTTATAAAACATTCGCTCCATGAAAGTTCTTTATTATTTAATATTGAATATCATATCAAACATAATTTTATAAGTTTAAAAATAATAAATAAATAAATATTTATAATTTAGATTTAAAGCTAATAAAATAATATATTATTTTTTTTCAAAAACCACATTTTAAATATAGATAAAAATATATTAAAAATAAATAAACGATAGCTTGTAAGCTTATTTGTAAAAAAAATATTCTAAAGCTCGCTTTATATTTTCACTGCACACAACTTCCTACTACCGATATCTTTCGATAATCTATTTATCGATAGCAATTAGAAAATCACCTTTTGGGGATTACTTACCTGCAGCAAAATGGAGACACCCACGATTCCCTGGGCGCGATTGAGGGCATCTGAGAAATTTGCATACAGCTGGGAATTGTATCCGAATATTTGTATCTGCGAAAACAAAGGATAAACTTTTGGTAAAATGGAGAGAGAAAGAGATAGAGGTAGGGGAGTTTCCTTATTTTTTGTTGCCTTTGTTCTTTATTTCTTGTGTGTGTGTGTGTTGTGGCCAAAACTTTATTGTTGCTCAATTTAAGCCCAAATGCATACAAAGGCGACGGCGACACAACACAGCAGCAAGGGGGCGTGGCCAAGAGGTGGAGGAGGGGGTCAACTAAGGCTTTCGCCTTGTTTCGCATAAATTGCCCCAAAATAATCCCAACTATCAACAAAATGCACACAAAGACACAAATACACACGTGGACAAACACTCGCACACATTTGCAGGGGAAGATCAAGCAGCATAAACAACAAATATTTTCCTTTTAGCCGAGACACCAAAAGGGCCAAGAAGAACGAACGGTCCGGCGAGCCATGTCTGCTCTTAGCTGCTAAATCTTTTCTCTCCCCATCTCTCTGTCTCTCAGCCATGTGCATTTGCACTTTTGTTTCACGTCGACAACAACACGCCTACAGAGATGGAGAAGAATCAAAAGAGAAGTGGCAAGGGCAGGTGGGTGGGTGGGTTGGTCAGGGGGAAAGAAAGGGGCAGATAAATGAGCAGAGAAAGCTACAGAGATGGAAGGGGAAGGAGACAGAAGCAGTCGACACCACAAATGAATCCTAGAGCAAAGGCTTAGAGCGAGGGTTGCCTCTAGGGTGTATCGGTAATCGAAGGAGAAGTGTAGATATAGGAGATATAGAGTATAGAAAAAATAATGTAGAATAGGATTAAATATTAATATATATAATGTGTTAAAATTAGAATCTTAAAGCTGAAAAAGAAAATATATTTTATGGGTTAGCGAAAGAGAAGTAGAGACAATCGATGAACTTCGATAAAATGAATGAATAAATCATAGATGTAGCTGTAATCGGATGATAAGAATAGAAGTACAGGTATAGTAGGTATAGAGTATAGGAAAAATAATGTAGAATAGGACTAAATATATTTAATATATTAATTTAATATATATTAATAAATATATATAATTAAATAAGATAGTTTTCTCTGAAACATTAAATATGTTATGGGTTATCGAAAGAGAAGTAAGAGAAGTAGAGACAATCGATAAATCACGATAAAATCAGATAAACAAAAGTAAAGTAAAAGCAAAATTAACAAAAGTTTGAAAGAATAGAAAACTTAATGTATACAAATAATAATTAAATTATAAATTATAATAATATATAAATATTTAAATAAATCACAAGACTGATTTCCAAGATGGTTTTGCAGACAATAAGAACCAGGCAAGCAAAGAAGAGATTCCCTTTCCTCTTAAGAAAAGTAGAAAATTTTAAAAACAAATAAAACTTAGCAAATATCTTACAAGCAAACTTTCATATTAGTTTTATTTACTTTTAAAAACTTTGTTATATTTTCTCATTTATAGAAAAATATAAAAATTTATAAAACCGAATTTACTTTTCGAGCAGCCCCTGCAAATGTTTGTGAGCTTGTGTAACATGTGTACATGGATTTTCGGGGGGATTTCGGTCTGGGATATGTTTGCCTCTCTGCATTTGAGTGTGTGGTGGTGTGGCGGTGCGGTGGTGCCAGGGGCTGTGTGTGAGGCTGCACTCGCTGGTTGACCAGGCCAGACGCACCGAGCGGAAGGAAATGCTGCAGACAATAGTGAAAATAATAATAATAGCAGGGAAAGCACACACACACACACATACACACACACACTGGGCGGTGGGCGTGGCCGTAGGCGCTGGGCAGTTAATAGTCATCCTAGCCCCCCTTTCCCGGAATCCAGCACATGTCCTGCCTCGATTTTTAACCCCGTCCTGGGAATTTCCTGGAAAGGAGAATGGCAGAAAAGAGCAGCAGCAGCGAGGCATGCATTTAAATATTAAAAAACTACATGCTGCAATTTTAATGTGTGCCCAGCAAGGCAAATAAAAATTAAATTAAATTAAAATTTCCCAAAGTTCCTTTTTCCCGGAGTGTTTGGTGAAGTTGCAATTGCCGGAGCCGTGGTGCCGAAAAGGCGACGAACGGACTCTGGACTCCGGACTACGGACTCCTCGAAAAATGGCAACTAATGCAAATAGAACAGAAGTTGCTATCAAAAAATGAAGAATTTTGGGCGTACAGTGCGTTTCGACACATCATTTTGGGTGAGAAGTCAATGGAAGTCTTTAAAATCAATTTTGAGATAGATATTATACAAGTTACATCGAAATTCTTATCGTTAATTGCTTTAAAATATCGATTTTACTTTTAAATAAAATTAAAATTAGATTTCTTTGACTTTGACAGTCGACACTTTGGAAGTACAATACTTAGAAGACATTTAAATAATTTGTAATATAATTATTTAAATCGTCTATCGATAACGCTCGATTAAATCGATTTAAATCGAACAATTTTAATTAATTGGATTTTAATTGGATTTTATTTCATGTCTTAATTTCCTTATTTAATGTCTTAAACATATGCAAGCAGCTCTTCTTAATGAAAGTCCCCGAGACTTGACATTTGTGAAACGCACTGTCTGCATGCATATATGTATATTTGCACGTTCTGTATGTACATATAGTTATGTATATTTTGGAATGCAGATGCAAATGAAATTTTGACGAGACGGTTGCAAAACTGAAGATGGTTAGTTCCGTAGCTCCACACCCTCCTGCTGCCTGCCCGCCTCAAGGATTCAAGGACTCGAGGACTGGCCACAGTCCGAGCATAAGTTATGTTCACTCACAGCACACAGAAGCTACTACTGGCACGGGCCCCAAAAATATATAGGAACAGATCCCGGGCGTTAACTGCATGACCAAACTGAACAACTAAGCCGGAGCAGCTTCGCCACTTGAGCGGCAGATGGCGCCAGCAGTTTTCGGCACTTTTTGTTGGCTAATTAAAAATGTTGAGGAAAATACGCAATGGAAGTTGAAGAACCCCCGGAACGTATAGCTTTTTTTGTTAAGCATAATGTTTGCTTTAAGGCCAAGACTGTGTGCATTTTGTAATTAAATTTATATATATTTTTTTTTTTGCTTAGGTAATTGCAAACACTTTACTAGAATACTTTAATTTATTAAATAAAATAATAACTAACAAAAAGAAGGGTTTTCTATTAGGAAATTGTTTGAAAAATAGATTAAATAACACCTAGACACCACTTTTAGATTATGATTATACAAATTTAAGCCAGAAAATACTTTAAAATAAATTTAAAATAAATATTATAAATATTTTGCACTAATTTAACGATTTAAATTAATAATGAATAATTAAACTTAGCTTTTAGCTTTAATTTCCTTACATTGCCGGATTGTAAACGCTTTCACATCACGTTTAAATTAGTATTATATTAATTTAAGCCAGAAAATACTTTAAAATAGATTTAAAATAAATATTATAAATAATTTCCAATGTCTAAACATAGCATAGACCTTTAATTTCTCTACATTTCACCCCACTTACTTCTTGTCAAATTGTTAACGCTTTCACACCTTTGGCCTAATATCTTTAATATTGAATCATAAAGGCAATGAACCCCAGTCGCTCTTTATTTGCGTGTGTGTGTGTGTGTTTAGTAGCAAATACTGGGGCAACAACAACAACGAAAATATACAATATTTGACCACAAACTAAAATGTTATATTTCCGTTTCATTAAACAGCCAAAGCCTGTGGCAAAGCAAATAAATACAAGCACGGTCACAGGCAACAAATACAGGGGAGTCAGGGAAGGCGATAAGGGGGGTTCAAGGGTGGTTCAAGGGTGGTTCAAGGGGGTAGGGAGGACAGGGACTGGGCTGGGATCAGAATAACAACAAAAACAGAAAATAGTGTAAGTACCAGCAAATAGCCGGACAACAACTCGGCCAAAACGCAAAGAGCCAAAAGCCTAAGCGGTGTTAGGGGATGCCTCCCCCCCAGTGTGTGTGTGTGTGTGTGTGTTTGTTTGAACAAAGCAAGCTCCTGGCATATTTCTTGGTCCGCACACACACTCACACACACACACACTAACTTCGGCAACACGCAGCACAGACAGACACACGCAGAGCAAAGGCAACTTAATCAGATCAATTACACATGTTTTCACTGCATGGATTCCACAGACCGTAGAGCCGAGAGCCCGAGCCCCCCAGTCCCAGTCATACTCACAACCGTGCCTATACTTCCCCCACTTTTAGCCGGAGTCCTTGGTCCTACGTCCTGCCTGGGCCATTCCCCTTTCCTGGCCTGCTTTGCTGACAACCAGAGACAGCACAAGCAGGAGCCACGCCAGCTGCTGAAACTTTGCCTGGCCGGGAGAACCAGAACCCAGCCACAGTTGGCACAGTGGAAATATACCTTATAATTTGTTAAATAATGCTAAATTGATTTGCATTATCAGGGATTGTGAGTGTAAATTAAAACAATTATTAAACAAGTATCAGTTTGAGTGTAATCAGCACAAATTTCTAGGTATTTTATGGCCTAAACGGTAATATATCTTATCTGTTTTGAGATCCTTATAGATTCTTAAACTACGAAAATCTGTTTCATACCACTGTGCAGAATATTTTGCCGCGCAGAGGTAACGCTGGGCTCATTGGTTCGGTGAAGGTGGAACGCATACTTGGCCCTTCAGCCGCTTGACTTGGCTTTCGTGCTGCACTGACCGGCCACGATAATATTGGCCATGGCCAACAGCAGCAGCAGCAGCAGCAGGAGCAGAGAAGCAGAAGCAAAAGCAAAAGCAAGAGCAGGAGTAGAAGCATAAGCAGCAGCAGAAGCAGTAGCAGAAGCAGGTCCTGGTTTAGGCCGAAAACATGGCCTCATGTCAACACTTTGCCGCCTATGTCTGAGTCTCCCCCAAGCCCCACCCCTTGGTCTGTGTCAGTTTTCTAGACAAATGAAGCAAATTAGCTTAACAACGCACTGGGGACATTGTCAAACACGCACACCAGCAGGAGGAGAAGCAGGAGCAGGCGGAAGGGATAACA